CTCTGAAACACTTGGCCAGCAGATCTAAATAACGATTAAACCACGCATCATTGGCACTTTCATAAGGACCGTGGAGTCGATGAGAACATATCTGTAAAGCACAAAGGGTGTACGTGACATGCGGTTGTGCATTTCTCCGTGTTAATCCCATTTGCAGTTTTATAATTTCGAACAGCATCCGATCGGTGGCTGTACGATGCCAACACTGTAAGGCCCTCAACGCAACGGGCAGAAGCAGCCTACGACAGATGGTACCAGAATCCATTTATCCACTTCATTTATTATATTTCTTATAATCTGCGCAGTCAACTCAGGGGCACACGTATCACGTGCAGACCTGAAGTTAAAACGTTACCAAGTTAATTGGTTATGTGACGTCTCAAACATATGGTATATGGCCGTCAACATTTAATTATTGCCCATCAAACCTGCGAATCCACACTGCAGTGCTTAATGCCTCACTTCAGTGACACCGCATCATAATTAGTCTGCTTTTAACTACAATTGTGTCAACGGTTGAACGAAATGCACGAGAAATGTGATGCTCTACATATTCAAAGGATAACTGCAAAGGTTAAACAGAATAAAGTTCTCTGCCTAATAAAAGCACACGCAAACTTTGCGATTGTACCGCTTGGGTAAATTCCGTACAAACAGACTTAATGATTTTGACTTGGTGTGATATTCATTGCACAAATGCATACCGTGTCAGTTATAGATTTACAATGTTTATATAATGTTTGCTACGTGTGTGGGTGTACGTGCAACGTGTAGGTGGGCGAGTGAGTGAGCCGGGTGGGTAGGTGAGCGTCCGTCTTCGTTAGGTTTGTGTGCGAGTGTGTGGGTCAATGTGTGTGTGTTTGCGAGTGAGTGGATGAGCGAGCGCATGCGTGCACGCGTATATTTGTTAATACGCACGCACGGATGGCTACGTGCGTCGCGAAAGAAGTTCAACAAATACAATATGTAAGCAACACCCCGAACACCCTCGCAAACGAGATGTTCCATCTCAAGCGATTTACCCGCTCAAACACTTCACTCATTCATCAACAAAAACACCCCCACCCCCCCGCACCACCCCACGAAAAAATAAATTCCCACGGCACCGTAATTCAGCAACGGTTTGACATCACCGTACAGAGAGGGGGGGGGGGGTCACTGTTGTGGGTGCGGCGAAGAAGGCCGCCCTTAGTCCGATGTGGTGGAATCGCGTAAAAACGCTCGGCAACCCGGCGCGCCTCGGGCTCACCTCAAAGGTCGCTCTGCGGCGGCGGCGGTGGCGGCGGCGGCGTAGGGCGACAGCCAGCGGCGCATCACCGACTCGCTCACGCCGCCACAGCGCGGCCCGTGGACGTCTGCGACGTGACCCCCTCAATGCTGCCGCTGCCGCTCGGGGCTGTAAGCGGATTAGGCGCGCGTGTCGCCCAAAGTGCCGTGAATAATTATCCCCGCGCCCATCCCCACCGCCGCCAACACCACCACCACCACCACCCCCACGCGGCTAGGATTACAGCACCGCAGGATGAACCCGCGCGAGCGAGAGGCTGCGCCCACTCTGATAATTACATTTCTGTAACTGTAGACGTCAATGAATAATGCAGTGACACTGGAAGCACCGGAGCGAGATGCGAGCGCGGAGGGGAGAGGGAGGCGACCGTGTTTGGCCGAGGGGGCGACTGCGCCCCGCAGATGACGCGTGAGCTCGAGCGCACGGTGCTGGCAAACCGGCGGCAGCGTCGTCCGGGCCACACGATGAGCGCCGTGAGACACCAGCGGAGGGTCCGGTTCGACACCAGCAAGCCGCCATAGTTAATGCTGCGGTGGCAATTGACCAGTAGGGTAATATGCGCCGTCCGCTTCGCAGTGAACGTTACAAATCACGCGGCATCGTTCAAAATGCGTAGGCCATTGCGTTCTGGGGTTCTGGTCCAAATTTTCCAAATTCGAAAAATATCCCTTAAGGGTTCCCAATTGGGATTGCACAAATGTAACCGGTGTGGGCTTAATTGTGGACGACTGGCACGTAAAATGTGCACTTTGTGGGAGTTTTTTTGCCGTTGAGAAATAATATGCAAGTGTCGTTTTTAGTCCCGCAATTCGGTTTGGGTGTCTGTGATTGGTCCAGACGGTATATGAGTAGCATTCTGTACAGAATCCCTCTCTGACATATATATGGGCCATCGTTCAATGCAACACTATGATACGTAACACAAAATAATTTGCATCGTTGTGAAAAATATTAGGCACAAAAAGGCCAAATTCGTCCCTTTCCCAAATGCGTCGCTTATCGACGAATTCAACTGCTCTTGAAATGTGTAACCATTGTATATGTGGTGATATTGAGTGTACATTCACGTGTGAAATTGCCTAATTGAAAGATTAATATCCACCCTTTAACATTATTTGAAGCCAACCACTTGGTCTATAAATGCTCAAGATCTAGCAATTCATCTGTAAACAAGTTGTTCAAACTAGAATGACTAGCTACAAGTGGGACATTTAAAAAAAAATGTATTGCAGTAACTGACCATGTATTCTTATTTTCATTACCCAGGGAAACAGTCGCCTTCCGATACACCAGGACCTCAGTAACGTCCCTCGTCATCATCGCTTGAAGGCACGCAAGCCCGTTTGGACCCATTCGATTCACCTTCAACAATACGAGTTCAACCCCAACGAAGCTCGGGGAGCTGAATGTAGTTCAAAATAATTCCCAAAACAAACACCTTTTGAAAGACCCAACACAGAAGATCCCTGGGTTTGACCTTCCTCGAAGCTCATGGTCCACCTTAAACCGCATCCGCACAAACCATGACATACTTTATGCACAAATGGAATATTAAAAACTCTCCAGTGTGCGTCTGTGGTCATCCAGAACAGACAGTACAATGTTTAACAACACAATGCCCGATCCACAAATACTAAGGTGACAACACAGCGATACACTCCGCTGATCCTGACGCGGTTATCTAGCTTTGCCACCATCAATCGGTGTGCTAATGAATCCCTGCGGACCCTGAGGGTTAGGGTTACCTTTCATTTTCTAAACACAGCTGCTGGGCACAGGCTCAAAACGTCAAACGGCCAGCAGGAAACAGCACTGCCAAAGTTGCAACAGATAGGAGTGTAACACATTTCTTGAATCGAGCAGGGCTATTGTGAGAGCTTGGGGAACGAGACGATGGAAGGGAATTCCAAGTGGGGCAGCAGTGCATGGGAAGGAGCAGAAAGAGAGGAGTTGTGACTGGCAGTGTGATGTTTGAACGCAGTGTGAATGAGATGAACACAGTCTGCTAGACCGAGTCCTCAACATGGATAGCGGAATCAATGAGTGAACCGGACAAGAGTACAACGAATTTGAGGAATTTCACTCTAAAATAAAAATGTTATATCGCCCACAATGTATTGACATCCTTCTTATTCACAATCTGTGGCCAAGTGCACTCTGCAGGAGACCTTGTCTTCCCGTTGTCTACAAACGAGACAAGATTCAGCTCAGTTCTATTACAGCTGTTCTCATGGCCATGACCAAGCATTTGTCTCACCCCTCTACAATCTTACCTGCGAATCCCCAGGGTTCCGATGATAATGGGAAAAATCACAGATCCACTGGCCCCCGGCGGGTAACGTGATTTACGGATAAGACGATGGGGGAGGCGTTTGATGTGTTTCCCTGTGGAGGGAGCGATTGTGATCGCCCAACGGGGCAATGCCTGGGATCAACTTTCATCATATACTGTATGCACTATATTAGAGAGAATGTTTTTGTTGGCTGGCCATGTGCCGCCCAGCGTGGGGGGCATGCAAGGGTGGGGGGGGGGCGACTGGGGGAATATGGGGTGGGGGTGCTGTCACGCGTGAGATGGGGGCGTTGGGGTGGGGAGAGGACCTTCGTTCAACGATGGGTACCGTACTTTCACTTTATTTTGTTTTACTTTGGCTGGCTGGCAGCACGCTACCAGTACGTTGGCGAAAACAATGTGTGGCCGAGACAAACCAGTCTGTGTTTGTGCACGAGACGGAGTCTGGTTGGCCGGCTCGGTCCGTCATCGGGACCACGCGTGCCAACACTGGCACGCGTGGCTCCGATGCCATCAACGCTCCCGTGGCCACTGATGGGCTGTGAGGCTTTAGTAGAATTTCGGAACGGAGATCCATCCATTCCGCAAGGGCATCCTGGCCGAACGCTGCTTTGTGAATTTGACAGAATCGATTTACAGATGATGACAATGAAGATGATGTTGAAGAGAACGATAGCGATGAAGATGATAATAATGATGATGAGTAAAGGAGGTCATCTGATATTCTTTGGTTCTTTCGGTAAAGACACTTAGATAGAAAAATAATAATAAAAATAAAGTAAATAAAATTTATAAAAATAAAATGAAAAAATTAAAAAAGCGAAATGTAGACTGTAGCCTGGTTCTTAACCTGAGTGGGCATACTGGTAGTATATAATGTAGACTTATTTTGAGTCTTTCAGTAATAAATAAAGAAAAGAAAAATAATAATAAAATAAAGATAAAAATTGTCTGCATTATAGACTGCCAGTACGATAACTCAGTTTAATAACCATTGCTACAGTCTACATTTTAGAATGCCAATACGCTCACCAAGCGTAAAAGCCAAGCGACAGTCTACATTATAGACTGCCAGTACACTCACCGAGGTTAAGAACCAGGCTACAGTCTACATTAATGGGTTTTTTTATATTTTATCATTTTTATTTCTAGTAACTTCATTTTCATTTTTCTCTTTACGTGGCTTTACCGAAAGAACCAAAGAATATGAATTCCTGCAGTCACGAAAGTTTAAAGTCAGGTCATCTAATATTTCACGACATTCTTGTGCAGCCTTCTCAGCAAAGATGGGATTCTACATTGTTTTGCATTAATATAAACACCAACGATTTGAGAGATGCAATTTGCATGATTGACTCTACAGGTTCTAATAAAACGGCATTATTACGATGCACTCGTTTGAGGCGAGACTCATCTTACCCATCAAGTTCACCGGGGGAGAGGTGTCTTGAGTGGCAGCCAAAAGCAGGCATCGAGAGCCACTACGCCATTTCAGCACGCGACCAAGAGCGAATGTTGAGTGCGTAGAAATGAATACTCCGAGACACCTGCGTGCACCGGCAAGTGATAAGGCATTGTTAGTATCTCACATGGAGTCAATAGGGTACAGAGAATCAGCCGACCCAAGAGGAAAACAAGCAAGGAGTAGCAGATTTAAAACTGTGGTACAGGACAGTGTAACATGTAGGACGAGGGCTTTTCGTGAGCCTAGGTACGTACGTTCACAAGAGCCGTGTGGTCACCACCCAACACACGAAGGCAAAGATCCCCCGTATAGCCTTACCAGACTGCAGGGGCAAGTGCTATTAGAGAGCACCTATGAAGGCCGGAACGGCACACGAGGAGGTGGGTGGCCAGCACCACGCCCGATTGCCTTTGTCTCCCTAGTGGCGATGTTTATCATACCGCACCAGGTACTCATTTTAGGCTGAGTCGACCTAGGGGGGGGGGGGGGCAGGACCGGTTCAAATAATCGTCACCGGTGTTGGCCGTGAGCGGGAGTCGAGTTCGGATGGCGAGGTTCGTCGCGCAGCGCAGCGCGAACCGCTACACCACCGCTCACTACACAAGAACGTGTTTGACCACACATCCTTCTGTGACTACACACACTTGTGCAATAAATCTCACCAGATGCTTGACAATGAATTTACTATAAATGTTACAATTACTTTTGAAAGTAATTTGCCTGAGTCAACTTTGTTACGGGAAATGTATTAACATTTATGCGTACGTATGCCCTGTTTGGTTTCTTCTGAAACAATGTATATATTTTTTTCTCTGGCGAGATGTTAACTACCTCGCTTGGTATACAGGAGGTCGTGGGTTCGATCTCGACGCCTGTATATTTGGAGTTTGCATGTCTCTCCCTGTGGTTGCGAGGATTCTTCTCCATATCCTCCGGTTTTTCCCTCGACATGTAGAATCAACACTCGTTTAGAGTATTTGGCTGCTATAAATTTCCACGTGATAAGCCACTTTGTTGGACTATCATTTGTGTCCAGGTCGCTTCTTAAAAAGAGCTGTACAGCTCAGTGGGCCTTAACTGGTAAAATAAATAAATAAATTCAAATTGTTAACAAATATGCTTGGTTGCCTTTGATCTGATTACAATTTACTTCATTTCTACAATATATTTTATGTTATTGCGTTTGTCCTTTTGGTGACCCATGTTACTCTTGCGAATCCTTGTCTCTCGAGTTCTCACCTTGGGTAAACACAATCCACCTGAAACTTGAAACTATGTTTGCTTTACGAGTAGAATTTACACTTTTTTTCTTCCATATAGGCCAAACCCAAACATAGTTCTCAATCAGTCTAGGTCTATAAAAACCCAGACATAGGTGGCCCAGTCTCAATGTCTGGGTCAAACCCGGGCATGCAGCAACCTTATTCCAATGTCTGTCTATACACATATGGGCCCGCATACAACTGACAGTCATCAGTCTTTATTTAGACGCAGATTATTCAGATCTGACTTTACTCAGTGACATTAAATGACCTGATTTACTGCGTAAACATAAGCTGCTTATCGTGAAGATATCACCGTATGCTTATCAATTACTCCCCATGAAGCCAGAGTGTACGCCGAGCTGGCGTGTAAACACAAGAGAAATTACTTCAATAATGGGAGCTAAAAGAGGACACGGTATTTCACGAGTAAAAGAATGTTTCACGCGAGGCAGTGGGACGGGGCAGATGAGTGGGGCGGTCTGCCTCTTCGATGCGAGGATTACCAAAGCCGCGCGCTAAATCGGGTGCTTTAGGACTCGGCGAGCTCAGCCAATTTACTTTCGGGGGGAAACACTTGGTAGGACCCTCTTGAAAGTCGTGAGGCTCTCTTGGCTAAACAGGCACAATTGCAATTACCCCACACAGGCCTGCAAGCGAATGTATTATTACGCTGTGAGTTTCCCGAATTCAGTGATTTGCCAGCCCACAGCGGCACTGTTTACAGCACCCACTCTCAATAATGAAATTCAGAAGGTAAAAACAAAGTCAGGGCAGAATGTCAGTTGAACAAATGCCGATGGAAAACAGAAAGTTCACGAGGCGATAGCGTTAATGTTCGTGCTATGTGTGTTTCAAACGACACACAGAAGCGTGTTTTTGTTATATATGTACATACGTTAAACTTATTTCGCACCGTAGGCAGCCAACCGTGCTCATCGGAGGTGCGGGGGAAGGGCAACAAACTCTAAAGAAATGAGTTTTCAATCTAACACAAACACTGTACAACTCATATGTTGAATATACTGTATACGTGACTATATTTAAATATTCATGTGACCCCGGTGGCTCAGCGGTAGAGTAAACGGCTCACAATGGGAAGCGGTGCGAGTTCAAGCCCTGGATGGGGGTTGACTCAGCCCATCATCTCTCTGCGGTCGACAAAACACATAACACTTTGCGCAGAAGTCAACAGTTGTTGTCCCATGGACTTGCGGAAATTATACCGTTGGTTCAGGGCTGTACACGGGAGTTAATCGCCGTCTCAGTGCTGATTTGAGCAGGAGATAATTTGATTCTCGTTATGCACAGCATTATACGTTGTGTTGGTATAAAGCTTCTATTTTCAACAATTCAATTAACGTCACAAGTGATTATTGATTATATTATTTTAAAAAAACATTACAACAAATGTTTTTCGGGTCTATAGATAGACGTATACATGCTACATTGCTTTTGCAAATAGGTCTCGAATATCAGACAAATGTAAAAACATTTATTTTAATTCAAGCTGCCAAAATATTTACCTTAAATTTTTTTAACCATATTCAGATAAATCATTGATTGAATAGCAACCAATATCGAACAAAACGCGTTAGAGATTTAATTGGATGTTGCAAATCTCAGCTATATTAATTATACATTGAGAAAATTCAGTTGCTCACGCGAATATTGGGATATCAACCAATATTGTAATAGGGTTTTTTGTGTTTTTTGGCCTCTTCAGGTAAAAAAAAAATACATGTCCCCAATGTATTCCCCAATGTATTCCAAACACGCCATTGCCATTCTGCCACAAGATGACGAATGACATCGGAAATCTCTCGGAGCGAATCTCGCCGTGTCTTCTCCAAACGCCTGCGGAAGAGAATGCTCAGCGGACGTCTCCACCCCCAAGGCAGGAGGAGCTGCGACTCCCCACACGGCTCCGCCCAGAGTCTGTTTTGCTGCATTACAGTGAAATCGATATAAGTTTTTTTTTGTTTTATTCTCAGAGCTACAATTTCGTTAAATTAAATGCAAAACCAATTTTAATGCGATGGATTTTTTTTCCGTGCAGCCCTTTGGCAATCGGACCATCAACTCACTACACATTCGAACAAAAAAATAAAACGAGCAGACGGTTCGCCTCCGTAACACGCCTGCCCCTCCACGTAAACGTATAAAAGTGTTTTAACACCTGACCATCGACAATATGGCCTACTGGGAGTGCATAATTTCAACAACATTAATTCAACGCAAAGCAAAATGTTCAACCGGAATCGACATTCAGTGTTCCATCAGCATATTGTGCGTTGTTGTAACTTTCTGACCCGCCCCTACTGGACATCTGTGAAAAATAGCTTCATAGCTCATCAGATTTCTCCACGAATAATAAAGATTCTGATCCTGAGACAGGCTAGCTTCAAACAAATGCTTGTGAACTGCCACACGCGTATAGGCTAGTACCCTCTCTGTTGGATACGGGGTCCAAGTTCAACAGAAAAAAACGATACAATACACGTAACAAAAACATAAGCATGACCATTGTTGTGGAGAATACCGGTATCAAAATAAACAAGCAGACAATTCGATTCCTTCTGTCATCTGTCCGTGCTCAACAAATAAAAGTCGTCTTTACGTATCTCAAGATATGAGTACTCTGTTTAATGATGGCGGCTGCCTGCATGGGGACCTTGGATCTCAGCGCCACACATTAACGTGACATTTCATCAGCGGATTTGGCCTTTTCCCCCCAATCCTGTGACTGAAACATGAAGAAGCATGATGTACCTCAGCTGCTGTGCACTGCATAAAAGGGTACCTCATAGCAAATGTGCATGGCCATTCAGGATTTAAGTCAAGGCTAATGCAGAATGTATTATTGAAAGCCCGGGAAGACATATACGACGTTTGGAACTTTCTTGGTTTTTGAAATGTATATATAAAAAGTCACGAAAATATTTTCATTCTTTTCGGAGCCAATGGGTGTTTTTCTCTGTTCACAGTTGCGTGAGTAAAGATAACGGTGGAAGCCCAGCAGAATGTGTAGACCTTAGCATCTATTGAACTGAGATGGGGATCAAACGGATGAAAAAAATATGCAGACGAGGTCAGGATGCAGTGCTTTTTGCAAAACTGATTTTGATCAACAAAATCAACACAGCCGAGCGCCTGCATGCTAATTACAATGCAGTCGATATCACGGTGAAGAGGTCACCACAGCCCAATCTCATTGGTGCCTCCATGCTTCACTACCGATGCTCTATTGCTGCCAGACCTGGCAGCTGTTATAGTCCACACTATCAGCAAGGTCCACTCACAGTATCTAACCCGACGGTGGGGCCTTCTCCTCGGTTGCTGACCCCCAGGTCCCATTCTGATCCTCCATCCTGCGCATGTGCGGCTACTCACCGCGGCCTCCGCTTCCACATTGCAGGACATCGGTACCGCTCTCTCGTCGCACCGTAAATCCAAACATGTAACTGGCTTCTTGTGTTTCTTTGGGATTTCTGGTATTCTCCCCCATCATCTCTTCCCAAGCTTTTGCAACTTTGCTGAATTCGGGAAACGTGTCAACCCTTATCTATTCCAACGTTGATAGTGCAGTTTGTTGCTGGGCCTTTTGACGTTTTGGCCCTTAGGAGTTGTGATAGGCAACTTCATTTAAAAATATATATAACTCTTCGAATGTAGCTAAAGGATATTCAAAAGCCAAATGCTCTTTTGTAGTCTCAACATATATCTTAATACGAAGGTTGACTTCCCTCAGAGTCACGCTGGAGAGGTCATCAGGCTCAATGCTGTTTATGCCACCACACCTCACCATTGCTCCCTTCTG